AAACATTACTCACACATGTTGACAAACTGGAAGTCTTGTGTGAATCCATTGTTAACTTTGAATCTTTTGCTGAAAATGGGTATGATCTTCGTCCCATTGTTGATGCTCAATGCTGGACCAAGTTCTTTGATAGGCTAATGGGACCAATTTATCCTTGTCTGGTAAAGGAATTTTGGATACATGCTTCTACTTGCCCTAAGTTCATTCTCTCTTATGTTCTGGGTAAAGAAATCATCATAACTGAAGATTTGATAAGAAAACTCATAGGCTATGAGGAAACTGATGGTGTCACAAATCTGCCAGCTGAGCTTCTAACAAGGTAAAGGATTTAAAGCCAGTTTACAGGATCTGGGCTAAGATTTTCATGGGTTGCATTCATCATAGAAAATCTTCCAATTCTCCAGACTATATTAACACTGATCAGCTATACTTCTTGTATTGTCTGAGTCAGAGCACAAAGGTGGATCTGCAGTATCTTCTGTTTAATCATCTGTGGACACACGTTAAATAGTCAAGGGAAGAGGCCACAACGAAACATCAGAAAATGAGGAACTGGATTCCAATAGGAAGACTCATTTCAGACATTCTGACTGAGAATGGTCTGGTTGGACATTTGGTAGAAGCTAGAATGATGGAAGAGTTAGCTTCTGCAATAGGAAAACATCTGAATGGGAAGAGTCTTCAGAGAATGAAGGTTGTTGAAGAACTCACTTCTGCACCAAATCAGATAAGTTCTGAAGAGGTCACTAAAAGAAGGATACCAATGGATAATTTTCCTATGTTCTTCGCTAATGAACCAAGGGAGATTATTCTGAAGTACATTGCAGAGTGTCTGAAAGATGGAACTCCTCTGCCAGCAAATCTGGTTCAAAAGGCAGATGAACCTGCTCCAGATATTTATGAGGCTAGACACAAGAAGAAGAGAAAGGTTGCTGAAGAAGGATCTCCTAAACCCAAGAGGAAGGCTACTGGTGAAGCTGCTGCTGTCAAACCCAAAAGGGTCAAGAAGCAAAAGGTCAATCCTCTAGAGGCAAGCTTAGATTCTATTCTGGAAACTGTCAAAGAGGTATTAACATTTGATCCACCTCTCCATGAACTTATACCATCACCTTCACCTTCTCCTCCTCGTGTTTCTAAACCAAAGAAAACATTTGTTACAACTTCTTCTGTACCCCAACATCAACCAACCCCATCTGAACCTACACATTCTCAACCATCTGATATTCCCCCCTCTGACCAACAAACCTCTACACCAGAACAAACATCTGAAATTCCCCCACCAGAACCACAAACTTCAAAACCTACAGAACCAACACCACAAGAACCAGAACAACAACAACCACAACCAGAACAATCCATTCCTTCTAATCCTGAACCAGAATCTATCCAACCTTCTAAACCTTTCATACCTGATTCTGATGTTTTAGATATTCAACCTTTGACAACTCTGGTTGATATCTCTTCCACATCCTGTCATTCATCTGAATCACCTGATTCATCTGAATCTGACTTACCACCAGAAATTAACTCACCCCTCACTCCGTGGCTATGAACCTAGAACATCTGAGTTTGTATCTTTTGCTTCTTTAAAACCTCATCCCTCTGATCCCCTTCCATATGGTTTAAAACTCAAAAACTTTTATACCAGAATAGAAGCATCTGACCCTACCATTCCATATAAACCTATTTCTTCAACTATCCTTCCCTCTGTACTTCAAGTCTATCTAAAACAACAACCAGATATCATTCCATCTGAACCTCTACACTCTCAAAATTCTGTTTTTATCCCCTATACTTCTACAACATTTGATGTCATTCCCTCTGTATCAAATTTCAAACAGTTCTTGTTTCCCAAATCATCTTCATCCAGATTCAAAGCTTTCATTTCATCTGAAAATCCTTCATTACCTTCTTATCCTCGTCCTCTGTTCATTATCCCAACCTTTACCATACCACCCCCACTAGAACAACCCAAACCATCACCTCTGGAAGCCTACCTTAAACCTAAATCCAGGCTAGATGTTGATGTTTTATTTGACAATTTCAAGAAAGAAATAAGGATAAGTTTAGACTCTGTAAAGAAGGAATGAATCTCAACCTTTAATCCAGAAGCTTCTGAAGAATGCTGGATTAAGTTCATTTCCAGATTCAACTCTGTGGCTTCTAATCTGAAGACCATTTGGTTTGATAACGCAGAGGTCAGATTTGCTGAAGTTGTCAGACATACGCTATGGAATGTGAACAGATCTCCAACATTGCTTCTTGAGGATGCACCTTCAACTTCTAGAGTAACTGCTACTTCTGAGACTATTGAAGAATCTGCTCCTGAAGTCACTCTGGAAACCAATCCATTAGCTTTGATAATTGTAGACCAACCATCTGAATCTGTGCCTTCAGAATCTGCATCTGAAATGATCATTGACTATGCTCCTACTCCTGCATCTAAATCTGCTCCTACTACTTCTTCTGAAGTTAAGAAAGAGAATCCAGACCTAGAAGACAAGATTGCTGTGCTGGAAGCTGGTCAATCTGAAATTAAATCTTGGATGGCAAAACAAGATGAGAAGACAGACAACATACAGAAATGGATGGCTAAGTAAGAGAAATCTACTTCTGAGATGACCAACATCCTTAAACTTCTTGCATCTCGCTTATCTTAGTTCTTATGTTTGTGCATTTTAAGTGTTATTTTGTTCTGTTTCTGCTTTCTCTGAATCATGTTTTGTTCTTGATGTACTCTGATTATCTCTGAATGAATATGTCTGTGATTATTTGTTTTACATCCGTTGATGTTATCAGTTTTATTCTGTTTTCTTCTATTAACCTTTTATTTGTCCTTAAAAGTTTTCTTTTTGATATGACAAAAAGGGGGAGAAAAAGAAATTCTGTTTGTTCAAATATAAACAGTTACTAAAATGAAATTCAGACATAACAAATTATAACTAACATTGAATTTTAGTCTTTCAGAACTATAATGTATCATCTGACAAAATTCATTGAAGTTACCCTGAGAATCCCCAAACCAGACTTTTACTCAAACCAGGTTTACCAGGCTCTGATAATTCAAACCAGGTTCTGATTACCAGGCTTTGATCCTAGAAGTTAACCAGGCTCTGATTATGGAAAATAAACCAGACTCTGTTCCTGGAAAGAAAATCAGTAAGAGTAAACTAGGCTCTGGTTCTGGAAAGCAAATCAAGCTATTACCAAGCTCTGATTCTGGAAAGTATATTCTAACCAGGATTCTAACCAGTGGTTTTTAACCAGGCTCTTAATCTGAAAAGTATACTCATGCAAAAAGGGAAGTATTTTCTTCTATTAGAGTATTCATTTCAGGGGGAGATTCTTTATCTCAGGGGGAGTTATATATTTATCCTTTTATTAAACAAAATTTCCTATGTTTTTGTCATCATCAAAAAGGGGGAGATTGTTAGAACACAGATTAGTGTTTAATTATATCTCGATGTTTTGATGATAACTCTAATGAAATTTTGTATTAAGAAAATATATACTCTAATTTTGTTCAAGTGTTTTTGTTTCAGATATTAAATTAAATATTCTTATGAAGCAAAAATGCATCTGAACAGTAGTCTACACAAAGCTCTAAAGCATCAGAAGCAAGCCATCAGAAGACTCTGAGCGCTGCCAGAAGAGACTCTGAAGCAGAAGCTGCAGAAGACTCTGAAGCAGAAGCTGCAGAAGCATCTGAAGCATAGCTGAAGATTTTGTATGAAGAGTTTAAAGCATTGTTTGAGAAGATTCTAAATGTACTTTACGCTGCAAGTACAGAGGCTCTGAAAAACAAGTATGCTCTGATCAGATCACTCACGCTGAAGCACTATTGCTGCAACTCTGATATCATTTAATTTGATCTGAAGAACAAGAAGCACATCAGAGGATCTGATGTTGTTTACATTTGAAAAGATGTCAGCACGTGAATAGACTTGGTACTGTTCTCAATGTCCTCTCCAACGGAACTATTCCTTATTTGTGATAGACACAAGGATTCAGGCAAAAGGCATTTCTCTGAACATTCTACTTCTGAGAAAGGAAAAATCATGTGAAGACAAAAGGCTACAGCTACTCTACTTGCACAGTCTTCAAGCATTGGACTTTCAGCACTATAAAAGGACGTTTTCAACATCTCTTCAAGGTTAAAGAATCTTGAACAAATTATTCAACAACTCTCATACAATCTTTCTTACTCAAAGTTGAATAGTTTTTATTCGTTCTTAATCTAAGTGTAAAAAATCACAGTTTGTGATATATTCTTTTAGAAGCAACTTAAACACTTGTTAGTTTATATTTATTTGTAAAAAGTTTCTTAAGAAGACCAAGTTGTGGTCAAAATTTCTTGAGAAGACTAAGACAGTTGTTCTTAGTGGTTGACACTGTAATCTGTTTGAATATAGTGGATTAAGTCCTTGTGGAGAAAGACAAATCACATTGATAGGGTGGACTGAATTAGTTGAGTTCAACGAATCAAGATAAAAATATTGTGTTGTTTTTATTGCCATAATATTTTCAAAACCTTTATTCAACCCCCCTTCTAAGCGTTTTTCTCACCTTCATGACCTATTTTAATCATGATGGTAGTTCAAAGAACTCTTAATGGTGATATCAAATGATTTCAAGAAAAAATTAACCTATTTTTTGCACATGAGAGTATATATACACATACACTACTGCATAAATTTGGATGTTTTGCATGTTTAAATAATACAAAGATTGAATCTTATGGACGCAACTAGTGGCACTATCATCTTATTCACCACAAATTATTGTCTTATTGGTATCAATTTACATTGTATAAACATGTATATATCAGTACTACAAATTATTATTGTCTTATTGGTATCGATTTACATTGTATAAATATGTATATATCTAGCAATTAATATCGAACTAATTGCATTGTATATGGATCATATTATATATATAAGATGAATTAAACTTCCCATGATTTGATAATGTAATAGGCTTCAACTGTTTGTATCTTTTTATGAGTTGCAACGAGGGATAACTTGTCCTTTGTAAGACAAATCAACATTGTTGCATAAAGCCTTAGCAGCTTCTCCTTCTTCTTCATACTGCAAGTCTATGTCCTGCATTACTATATGCTGGCATGGAAATTTCTTGCTGCAATCAAAATTCACTGCTACATCAGAAGCACTTTTACCTATTATATTCTCGTACAACACATCGCTTATTTGAACCGCAGAGTTCTGCAAAATAATCGAAAAAATAAGTACTAAATTCATAGCCAGTATTTATAGAAAAGTTGTAAAATTAATTTACCGATTTTTTGCATGGCTTTTTTTTCTTATCACAGTAATTTTGGTCTATTATTATAGGGTTGGCCACATTGTCCATTTCAATGTTTTGAAATTTGATATTGCTAGCATTTCCTGAGCCTCCCTGCATTTGATAATTTTTTTTGTAATAAAATAAAAAATAATTTAAATTTTTAACGTTAAAATCACTGTCATGAATTATTATATTATTTGATTATATAAAATCAGAAGATTAAGTTAAACTGTTAAAGTTTAAAATTACCGGCCAAGTCTTAATTCTAACTCCATTTTGAGTTCCAGAAATCTTAGCTCCATTTACTATTACTCCAGAAACAAATTCTTTGGATTTTCCAGCCCCCAAGCTTCCAATGCTGAGATATATATAAATAATCATTGGAAATAAATAAAATTCATATATAAAAAAAAAACTAGAAAAGAAAATTAAACTTGTTTACGTAAAGTTAATTAATTACCTGATGCCATGGCCAGGTCCACAAGTTATGTTTGTAGCTTCTACGTTCATAGATCCATGTACAATTGATATACAATCATCACCTTAAAAAAATTATTGGAAAATCAAATTAATTAATTAGGAGATAGATATACATAAATAAATTTCAATTATTAATTTTTATAATTTTTTTGTTTTAAATTTCTTTAAATATTCAATTTATGATTACCAACCTGTTCCTATGATAGAGCTAGAGATTTTGATATTTTGCGTGTTGGTGACATGAATCCCATCGGTGTTAGGACTATCTTCTGGTGATAATATGTTGAGACCAGAAACAGTAACATTATTTGAATCTTGAAATGAAATATGAATTTGTTGGGCATTATGGATGTTCAAATTTTGAACTATCAAATCCTTGCAACTATCAAATGTTAGAGCCTACAAAATAAAGTTAATTAATAAATAAATATTTCAATCGATTTAATACTCTTGATAATGCACAAAACTATAACTCTAATTTTTAATCGTTCAATAAAATTACAGTCGTTAAATAAAAAAAATATATTTAAATTTAACGACTTAGAATTCAGCTGAACGGATTGACATGTAAAAAATATTTTGCAAGAGCTATATGTACATACCGTTGGAGCATCCTTGCAAGGCTACAAATAAAAAGAAAAAAAAACATTAAAAAATGGTCATAGTTTGAATTAAAATTGATTAAAATATTGAGTTATTTATGATATTTTATTCTTACTCTCCCTTTGTTCCTTTTGCATGAGTTTTGCCACCATATGTTTCCTTTTCCATTAATGGTTCCACCACCATTAACTAATAGTTTCTGAACACTGTCAAATACAAGCCAGTGCCTTTTATCTTTCTTGTAATCTGATAGTTTATCTGATGCTTCAAGATTTCCAAGTATCTAAAAAATAATTAATTGTAAAAATCACTCTTTAACATAATAATTAATTATATTATACTAAAAAAAGAAAAATTAATTAAATAATCACTAGCTTAATTTATAATCATTTAACTTACCTGGACTGTTATGTTAGATTTGCAAGGACCAGAGAATCTTATTGGTTTGAGTAGATAATTATTATCTTGAGGTGCCACAAAAACTGATTCCCCTGAAGAACATACCACTTCCCAAGCCTTCTTGAATGCCTAAATATTTATAGAAAAATAAATATTATTTTTTTAATCAAATTAATACAAGTATAAAATATTTAAATTATTGACAAAAAATTTAGAAATATATATTTTTATTATATATATGTACCTGTGTATCATCTGAATAACCATCGCCTTTAGCTCCATAATCATTGACATTAACAATATCTATTCTACGTGACGAAGTTCCACCAAACTTGTTTAATTTCAAAACATTATTTGAGTTTTCTTTGATCAAGTTCTTGAATAATATTGTGCCACCATCATCATAAGGTGAATTATCAACGTATGTAGCAATAAGTGGGTCCTTTTGCAAGTTGCTATTACAAGAAACAAATGAAATGATGATGATAGTGAATGAGAAAAAGAAGCTATGTCTTAGGAGGGGCATTATAGTTAATTTTCTCCCTTTGTGTTTATTATTATATGGAGAAAATTTTAGTATATGGATGCACTTTGAAAGATTTGGAATTTTGTTTGATGAGAAAGTGTGTATATATAGCAAAAGCTATGTAGGGAGGTATGAATATAAAGAAGGGGGAGATTATGTATTTATATACAAAGAAATTTAGAGTATAGTGATATTAGATTTTCATATAATTAGGGATATATAACGGCATGGTATTTAGGTATAAGAGATTAATACGAAATGACTTAATCTATATACCACACTCTTGCTCCATACAACGTGGTCTTTTATGTACACCAACTATATAGGCTAGCTATTGGATAATGATAATAATAATGTAGGGTTAATCTTAATAATATGATTCAAGTGTGAAAATTTAATCAAGAATTGATTGATAGTTGTTAACCATTGATATATTTTTCTTTTAGTAATCATGTTGAAGAAGATAAGGGACTTTGTTCCTTAATTGCATGGTCGACCTAACAAATTATGGGACCTAAAATAGAAATGAAATTAAAATTTATTATAAAAAAAATTTAAAAATATGTTGATTAAGAAAAAAAGAAAACAATGTTTGTTGACGACTAAATAAAAAAAAAAACACAATAAATAAATAAATTGCCATAAGAAAGAAGAAGATACATATTTATTTTTTATTTATTAGATGACATATCACTGTTGGGGTATGAGGAGGAGTATCAATATTGGACCAAGAGCAACACAAGTGAGAGAGACACCACATATTCACCTAAAACCTTAAGGTAATAGGTGTATGGGTTCTCCCACTTATAAATGCTCAACTATCCATATTTATAATCAATGTGGGACACCAACTCACGTTTGACTTTATATTGTTCTCAACAGTCACAACGGTTAGAAGTAGTAACCATAGTGAAATGTATACGAAGTGAAATAGTTCGAATCTCATCATCAACAATTAGTCATTTCTCATGATAAAAAATGTTATTGACCATGTATATTACCACGGTTTTTATTTCCAACCATGATGAAATGTGATATTTATTTATATATAAGCAAAATTATCTAACGCTTCAGTACATACATCCGTCTCTCTCAAAACAAAACCCTAACAACCCTTTCACTCGTCTCTCAAAGAGAAACCCTAACAACTCTGTCACTCGTCTCTCTCATATGGATACCACAAAACGAAATCATAACAACAAGTCTTTACAGGTTCGTTTTCTCTGTAGTTTCACTAGTGTAAAAATACTTTCTTAGCAGAGGTTTTTAAGTCAGTTCATCAATAACCCAACTTAAGAAGCCACATGGTGGCAAATCCGTAAATATTTGAAACTTTGTTATGTCGTGTCTATGTTTAATCGACCTAACAAAGATTAAATAAAAAAGAAATATAATTTACATTAAATTTCTTAAGTCGGTTCTTTTACCGAAATGACTTAACAAGTTTATTTATTAAGTCACGTGTTTATTACCTGACCTAAGAACTTCTTACAAAATCCCGGTTCGATTCCTACTTAATACATTTCATTTTAGTGAAATAAAACAATTATAATAAAATTAGTAAAAGCCGCATACGACACACAACAGAGACTCCCTTATAACCCTAACACTCCTAAATCGCAACCTCTTCCTCTCACCACACCACCACCACCACCGCCACTTTCTACGCGCAAGGATCAGTACATTACCGATCTTCTCAAACGCGACACTCCTCTTCCCACCTCCGATAACTAACTGTTCCACTATCTTCTTTTTCATTGTTCAATTAGCTTCATTTGTTTTCAATTAACATTTTGCTTGCAGGGAAAATCGAAGAAGAAGAAGAAAGCGAAACCTATTTAGGTTATGAAAGATGGCTTCCAACTCCACCCAAAGTCGTTAAGCCTCGTTCGGTGTTTAATGCTACTGCCTTAGCATATACTGGTGATGGCATTTATGAGGTTATTTTATTTTTCTAGATTTTGTGTTTTTTTATGAAATTAGGTCTAAGATTTGCATAGTTGCTAATGTAAATTGCATTCATTAAAAAAAAATCTTACAGTTTCTTATGATTTTGATAAAAATTAACATACCTATTGACCGATTTTCGTATACTTTAGGGACTAGTTGTTTCATATACTATATTGATATAGTTTACAGAGACGAAATTCAAGAGAGAGTATTAGTTTAGAGATTAAATTGATGGTTTATTCATATCTTATTATGTTTTTTTTCTTTCTGAAACTTGCAGCTATATGCTCGTAGGCACTTTTTATTTCCTCCCCTTGGTATTGAAGAATACAATAATTGTGTGATGGCAGTGGTTTGTTGTGAGGCTCAAGTATGGTTATTTCCTTCCCTACTTTGTTTTTTGTTTATGTTATTTACATTTACTAGCGGAAAGGGACAAGGACAATATCTGTTGTAATTCATTGTGATTAATAGTAACGTATTTTGTTGTGCAATTTTAGAATTTTATATCCATTTTAAACTCATGTCACCCTAATTGAGGTTTAGGAAGTAATAGATTAAATGTACTTGATTCTATATTTTTCTCACTATCTTGTAGTTGTTATTTGTGGTTGTGCTTTTTGCAATATTCTCATATGAACTTCATATTGTATGCAGGTTACACACTTTAGAGACAAGGTTATACTTGAAGAACCAATAGAGAGGTATATAGTTGATATCTTTATTTGAGACTTGTTTTGACTCGGTATTTTGAAGAACTATATTGTTCTATTTCTAGTTCATTTTTGAAAGCTACACCTGTTTCAAGTTTCAACAACTTGCTTAGTATTTTGTAAGAGCTTTCACTTTTAGTTCTCTTCATTGAGCAACTGATTGAAATAATAGACTGTACTCAAGCTCTACGTACACTGACCTTGTAAATGAAATTTTGTCGCTTTACTTTTCTAACTATTTTCTTCTAAATTTACAGATATGAGAAAAATATTCCCCTTTGAACTATTTCACTTGGGTGGTGATGAAGTGAATACAGGTTGGTATGCTTGACTTTCTTCTCGCAACGTGCTAGTTATAAGCCATTTTGTATCAATGCTAATTTATAAGAAATCTCTAATTATTTTGACAGATTGTTGGACCAATACTTCTCGTGTGAATAAGTGGTACAAACTATAACCTTTTATATTCATTTGTTTACATTCCAGATGATTTTTTTTCTATTGCCTAGAGCTGTAAATTTACTATGGAAACTCAAATTTAATTGAAAATACGAACCTTGACATAGAAAGTCGTTTTCCATATCTGGTGGTCAAAGAAAATTATTATCCGTCAAAATCACTGAATTTGATTATTGTCATGCATCAAGCATAATATTCAGACGCGACTTTATCTCTAATGCAGGCTTAAGAATCACAACATGACTGCTAAGGATGCTTACGAATATTTTGTACTGAAGGCCCAAGACATGGCTCTTTCGAAAAACTGGACTCCTATGAACTGGTATGATAAATATATGTATATATTACATGTTTTGTCTTTTGTATTTCAATTTATTATTTTCCATATTATTAAGATGCAACCTTTTATGTAACTTATTAGGGAAGAAACCTTCAATGCGTTTCCCACAAAGCTCCATCCACAAACAGCAATTCATACAAAAGAGAATTTAAGTCAGACAGTGTTAAACCGACCTAATAAATTCTCTCCTGTTTTCTGTAGCAGATTTGTTACCAGGCCAACCTGCTGTAGGCGATGAAGCTGCAAATCTTCAAGTGAAGGCAGTATATGTCAACTCCGCCATCCTGGTTGCAAAGAGCTCGTACTTCTACAAGGTAGATGTCTCTTCTTTATTGGTTAGATTTTAACTTTTGGTAAATATTGTTTGGTTACCTATGCATATTATTTTACAGCTTTTCTCTAACGGGATGAGGGAGTCACAGCAGAAGCATGTCCCCCTGAGAATGGCTGCATCAGGTATTGACATATATAAAAAACTTGTTAGATTATTTTCTTAATCCGACTTGTTTTCTCAATAGTTTACTTATTAATTTTATTTTTTTACAGATGAACAAGTTAATAAAATATGTTTCATGAATTGATTTAACTATGTAGTTTTAAAATTGATGTTTGGATTAAGTATTTATGTTTATTGTGTTGTGTTTTTGAGCTGATTTGGATTTGGTTTTCTCTGAAATGAAGAACTACTGTGGTTGGAAAATGAGCCAAATGCAACGCTCAGGTGCAAAGACTGTATTGATGGATTTATTGGTTCTTATGAGAAAGATGGGTCTAATGTGTTTATTGATTGGGTGAAAAGTAATCAGATAAAGCAAGTAAGTATTGTACTTCTGGTGTTATCAGTATTTGTTTGGTTTGTAGATTCTTGGTTGAGATTGTTAGGTGCTGGTTTTTTGTTTGTTACAAGTTTTGGTTTGTGGGATATGCACTGATATATGTGTGCTGGATTTTACCTGTTCGGTTTTGTCAGCGAGGAACCGCGGTTTCCTTTCTCCTCTGGAAAATGTGATTGTGGCTTCCCAAGCTTGTGCTACTTATGATCTTCCACTACATGTAGCCAAAGCTGGCAAATACCTGGTATCCCATCCACAAGTATTTTGTCGAATTAAATTTTGGCTTTCCGTGATACACTTTAGCATTCCGGGTTGGAACTGGTAGAAAATATAATTAGCATAATCTTATTTCTTTAGATGCCAGATGATGGAAATCATCTGACATTGTTGCTCAATAACATTAAGGAAAGCTGATATATCTTTATACGTTGCTTTTTATAATTGATTTCCTCATCGCGAAACGGTCACAAACCATGCAACTGTTGTCCTAGGCAAATTTATTTTACAATAGGAAAAGATAGTTAATTTGATGGTAATGGATAGTTTGGATATGGACCTTTTTGAGGGTCAATCTTTAATGCAGAAATTCCTAGACATAGTTTATTTTTTTTTTTAGAAAGTTATACAAGTGAACAAAATTTGTTGAATGTAAGTGTGTTACACAATTACTTTGTAAACAACAGTTGCATGCACCAACTCAATATC